TAAACTACAGCCACACAACAGCAAAGTAACTTCCTAATCTCATACAAATCCCACTGTCATTTGTTTTTCTTTTCTTTTATACCTGATCAAATGTGTAAAACTACTTTTCACTTTCCTTTGAGAGATTTTACCAGAGTTGATTTTTTGTTTGGTTTTTTTTTTGGTGCTAGAATATAGAACCGATTTCAAATGAGCGAGTGATTTTTGCTGTCTCCTGTACCATTTCACCATGAAATAGTTCCTAGCAAAGACCTGCTGTATGTGCCACAGGGACAGAAGGTGTGCTCAGTAACTATTTCTGCAGAGATACGCTGGGATCAGGGAGCTTGACTGCTCTGAGCATGTTCCATGCATATTTTTTACTCTTTAATAACTGATATTTTAAACTCACTATTCCTTCTTTAAGGACAAAGCACTTGGCCTGCCAGCTCTGCGTGGCTGTTAAAATGAATCCCGGTAGGTTTTCCAGGAACAAAAAATAGAGACATATTTTTCCACATAAAATCAAAGTTTGTTTTTTCTCTTTGCTTTCATATAACTCTTAAGGACTTCCACTGAGTTTTCTTAGACTTTCTGAAAGGGAAGGAAAGAAACGCAACGTTTGGATCAAAACCAAGCATGAGAAATTTCAGCATAAAGGAATTTTCTTATGGACGTTTATGGAGGAGGCTGAAAAGACTCATTTCAGCCCAGTGCAGTGACCCAGTAATATGCTACAATTTCTTTTTTTTTTCTATGCAAAATTCAACAGAATTTTGGTTGATTTGGTGACTCTCCCAAATGCCTCCTGCTTCGTAGAGTGATGCAACAATGAGCTTGTTGAGAGGCTTTGATTCCTCTGGGCAGATGATATTCAATATTTTAGTATGAGTGTGTCTTAGCTGCTCCTTCCTAAATTGTGCCCGTAGTTTGGAAGAGGATATTAAACATTCCTATGTTTTCATCCTGTTTCTGAATCTTCATCCTGGTATTTGGTTGAACAAATAAGGTTTTTTCTCTTCACAGCTGCAGAAGATTTTTGATTTAAAAATGTGGTATTAGGTGATTGGTCAGAAGCTGGTGCTGTGTGAGGAATTCAGGTGACTGTGAGACCTGAGCGGTGCATCCTCTTTGGTATTTCATTGGAAACGAAATTTTCGTGTTTTTAACTCGTAAGAAAAATCCCAACCCTCTGCTGTGTTCAACACCCTTCAAGAATGGAGCCTAAAATGATTCAGGAGCTCTTGCTTTAATTCTGGGATGCATTGCCAGGATAAAACATGTAATAAAACATGGATTTGACATCACACTGATCCTCCAGAGAGGAAAATGAGTTGTGGATTTCCTGCTGGCTCCCCTGGGAATCACTCCAAGGGTGCTGGAGCTGGAGGGTCAGTAAATGGGGATGTTTTACCCCAAAACCCTGGTGCCTGCCCGAGCCCTGGACACCTCCATGGCAACTGCAGGCCCGTTCGTGGGGGAGGAGGAATTCCATCTGCAAACCTCCTCTGTGGGCACCCAGCAACTGGATCAATGACATCTGTTTCTCTGAACTGTGCGGAGCGCTGCCATATTCCTTTTTTCCAGCATTCCTCCAACGTGTAGTACTTTTTTGTATGCCAAGTATGTTGAGGCCATGAATACTTTACCATGCAGATGTGGAGGGAGGGAAGTATGTCCGCTTGCATGCCTTTTCCCTTCCCTTTCCTTTCCAGCAGGGCCTGGGTCCCCTTACCTACCAGAGTGTGGGACTTGAGACAAGGGCCTGGAGTGACAGGACAAGGGGGAATGGCTTCCCACTGCCAGAGGGCAAGGTTAGCTGGGAAATTGGGTAGAAATTCTTCCCTGTGAGGGTGGGGAGGCCCTGGCATGAACTGAAGAGGAGCATCATATGCAAACTCTACAACTTTAGAAGCTTCTAGAATATATTTGAAAAGAAACCCAGAGAATCAGTTGATTCTTGTCAAAATAGGGCTCCCCTGTGGCACAGGAGATAATATCCACCCAAGGAATTGAGGGTATAACCCTGGAGCTACACACACCTAGGATCCGTGTCCACCCACCGTGGCTCAGTTCTAGGGGAGGCAGGCAGAGGGAAGTGTGCTGTGGGCAAAGCTTCTGTCTTTGCTTTTCTTCCAATAAATCACCCAGTGTTCAGTGCGACTCCAAAAGCTTCTCTCCTTTGGATTGGGAAGCGGGGCAGCAGGTAGGTGTGACGCAGGTCCTGCACAGTCACCAGCCTGAACCCACCTTGAGCCAACAGAGAGGGTGAAAGGTAGCAGTGTTTGGGGGCTGAATCCATGTTTTCAGAGGAGGCAGCACCTCTTTTATAAAAGCATGTTTCTCTGGACTCCTTAAGAAGTTTAGACTGGAGGGCTGTCTCCAGGACCTGCCCCCTCCCCATTCCACGGCCCAGGTGTTTGTCTTGGCAGGAGGCAGTGTCTGCTTGGCTGGGGCTGGGATATTAAATTGAGGGAACACAGAGCTCTTGATGCTTTTCAATAGGGCTTCTATTTAGTATGGGGCAGGATAGAGCTGTCAGCTACCTGTGATTGTCCAGCGGGGAAGAAGGGAGGGATGAGGAGTGGGGGAAGAGCCCTGGAAATGTTTTCTGATTCCATCGAGAGAATGGTGAGAAGGAAGTGTTTTCCAGGAGGCAGAGCCTTGTGCTGGTTTGACTGCTGAGCTCTTTGCTGCAGTCCTGGTGTTGGTGGAAGGGGAAATCAAGGCTGGTGCTGTCTGGAATGATGTGGGATGGCACGTGGAACTTCTGAGCTGACCTTTCCATGTGCGGAGCCCCTCGTTCAGGATTTCACTACGAGCTGCACGGTCGATGTGCAGCCCAGAGCGAGAACTGGTTCAGATGTCCTGGGTCTGACACTCGGTGTAATGCTGATATTCCCATATATATTTCAGATACATATATCTGCTTTTAGCTTCTAAGGTTTGTAGGGTTTTATTTTCATAGAATGTTGTTAAACTTCAATTTTTTAAGCTCCTTATGTGCCCTATTTCAAATCTTCCCAGTGAAGACCCAGCACGTGGCATTTCCAAATTACCATGTGGGACAGAAGGGGGGCGGATCCTGAGACGGATAAAAGATGCCTGCAATACAAATGAAGATTCTTGTAGGGGGGTACAGGGAAGCTCTGTGGATCTTGAATTTCCAGGAAAAGAGTGACATTGGCAAATATTTCCATGTTGGGTTGCTGATTTGCTTAAAGCAGCTTTACAGTTCAAGTTCCCTCACTGTTCAGAGCTGGCTTAGGAGAAATAGCTGCTAATTAACGCCTCAGTTCCCCAGAGGATCACATCAGTGTTTTAAAAACTATTTCTTTGTGGCACAAAGGCACTCAGCGCAATTAAAAACATAATTTATAGCATTATCTTCTCTGTGGGAGATCCTGTGTGTTACAGGAACACCAGGTGTTCAGAATACAGATACCAGCAGAGTTTGGGATGGAGACTGGGAGCAGAACCCGAGGCCTTTCCTACTCTCAGGTAACATCAGTTTTAGCAGCACTCGATAATGGCCAACAGTGTGACTGCTGAACAAACCCTTTCACTTCCTGACACTCGAGGGTGGCCTTTCCAAAACTCACCTGGGAATTAACTGCCTCTCCCTTACTGCAAACCACTACAAACAGGGCATTTGACTTCCTAAAATACTTTTGGAAATCCCACCCTAATGTGTAACACCGAAGTTAAATGTGGCCATTAATGGTCACTCCACAGCTCTCCATTGTGCTCTCTGAAAGAAGGGCTCTTTCCTCTTTTCCAGCAACCACCCCATGCATATTTATAGGGAATCATGTTTCCCCTTAAATGCTGTTGATTTTGGCTGGGGAAGTGATTCCTTAGTGTAACCTGCCCTTGTAGGTTATTTTCTCAAGGCTTTATATTGTTGCTAATTCCCTTATTCTTGTCTGTGTCTTTTGCATGGGAAAATACCCCAACTATGTGCATTTTTCCAGGCTTTGGGTTATCCGTGGATTGTCCAGTAAAGGATGCAAGGCATAGTGTCCTCTGGGAAGTCCTCCTAGGTGGGCTGTCTGGGCCAGGCTGGCTTTGGCCTTGCTCCCAGTTACCTTTTATTATGAACGTCAGCAGCACTTGCTCCTGCATCGCTTTAGTTCTGCAGAATCCTCTCGCTTTGCTCCTGGATCAAGGAGGATGGAAAGAGCTGCAGGGATGAAATGTGTTAATGTTCAGGGCTCATTTAAAGACAAGTATAGATGTTGGGGAGTAAGGTGGCTGCACATGGGGTGCTGACTGGACCTTGGGCAGGTTTTTTTCTGGATTCTCCCCTGGGAGAAGCGAGTTTGTGAGAAAGCCAGGAAGTGAATCCACTTCCCCCAGCCTCAGGGCTGAGATGGTTCTGGGAACAGGCAGGTTTATTCCAGCCACTGTGCCCCAAAGGCTGCTTTTAGATTTTGGTGGTCCCGTTGTCTTCCCGTTTTCCCAGAATCCAGAGGACAGCTCTAGAGAACTGCACAGCAGCACGGGTTCCACCCTGCTTCCTTCAGCGGCTGGAAATTCTGAACGTTGTTAATTTAGAAGAAAAAAAGTAGTAAAATTAATAGCATTCCAAGATTGCAGACTGTGCTTTCCTGGATTGCTCCATCAATGTGTTTTGTGGAAAAAAAAATAAAAAAATTTCCACTACATAGTTCTTTCTTGAAAATCCACCACAGCCTGTTCTCCAAGGGAGTGTTGAAGAGTACGTGCTCCGAGCACCTGCCTGGGGGGAAGGAAACGCTTGGTTGGCAGTGCAGTTTACAGGGAAGATTCACTTCAAAATGCAGTACCTCCTTCTGCCCCTCTCTCACCCTCCATTCACTTGGAAAATTTCAAGCTCGTTTTATTGATGAAATCTGGGGGAGGGGAAAAAGAAATCTGTTGGTTGCAGTAATATTCCAAGTGTTTTATACTTTGCACCCCCTTGATATTTGCTTGTGGAGCCTCGGTCTGGGTCTTCAGGCTCTGCAGTGACACAGACATGCTGTCTCTCTTCTCACCAGGCTGGAATGATAAGAACCGATGAGGATGAGTACTTCATTGAGCCCTTGGAAAGGGGAAAGCAGATGGAAGAGGAGAAGGGAAGGATCCACATGGTGTACCGGCGGTCGGCGGTAGCGCAGCATCCCCCCGACACGCTCCCCGATGTCCACACAGAAGGTACAGTACCCTGGGGGGCTTCTTTGCAGGTCTGTCTCGAGTGACTCCAGCTTATGGAAGCTTTGCAAAGAGGCCACACAACTCCTGTTTAAAGTTTGGGTCCTGTTTGTCTCTGAGTAACAGCGAAACTGTGCCAATTTACTGTTTCCCTCCTTCTGCTGGTGGCAGTTCAGGCGGTCTGAAGGCACTTGTGTGGGTCGGATATATTTTGTCACATCCAAGGGTTTCCCTCTGCCTTGAAGATAATGCGGTTGGTCCATCTGAGAGTAATTATCGTGTCTGAGAATAATTATCGTGTAGTTTAATCCGTTTGCTTGTATGTTTTTTAATTCTGCACAAACCCTTACAAGCCAAGGCATTGCATAGTGGGGGCTGAGGGTTTTGAGCCTCTGGGCTGAGGATGAAAGAGCAGCTCAGCTCCCTGTCAGCGCTCTGCCTGTTTTTCAGCATCTCTCAGCTTCTCAAATTCCTGTTCATATGTTGTGTTTGCACGTTGATGGAACTCGAAAGGCTTTGGGAAATAAAAGAACAATAACATGCAGCACACAGAACTAGAGCTACTTGGCTTTTGGTGCCCCAACAAGGTTATTCCAGTTTAGCTCATGCATCTGGGGGGGTTAGTCCAGACAAGAGGAGATGCGGGGGAGACCTTCTCAGAAGGGAAGTCAAAACTCCCTGAGTGGATATTGGAGCCAGGTGGGATTCAGTCTCTTCTCCCAGGTAACAAGTGACAGGTATAGAGGAAATGGCCTCAAGTTGTGTCAGGGGAGGTTTAGATTGGATATGAGGTAAAATTTCTTCATGGAAAGGGTGGTCAGGCATCGGGCTGCCCAGAGCAGTGGTGGAGTCACTGTCCCTGGAGAGATTTAAAAGTCATGAAGATGTGGTATTTGGGGATATGGGTTAGTGGTGGCCTTGCCATTGTTGGGGGATTGTTTGGACTCAGTGATGTTGGAGGGCTTTTCCAACCGAAACAATTCCGTGACCAAAGTTATAGCAAGCTGCCCAAGCCCATGGAGCCTGAGGAAATGTTTGCAGTGGTAGAGTTGTCAGTGGCATATCAATGCCATGAACATCTTCCTTCTTCTTCTCCTCTGACTCTGCTCCCACCCCCGTGCCCAGGCCAGAGGCAGCGACACAGAGAACGGTCTGCTGGTGGTTTGGGAGTTCAGCCAGCACAGACAAAAATCCAAGTTCTCAGCAACAGATGACAGCTGACTCAACAAAACAGTCATTAAGATAAAAAACTACTTAAAGTTGTGGTAGTCAGTGAAGTGTTTCCAAAAGCTGGGAAATGCTGTGTGAAAGCCTTTCCTCCACGGTGACACGGGACATGCTGTGGCCTGTTCTCCCTACAAAAAGCCAGTTTCCTAAGAGGAAAGCTTCCAGCTCCAGCTATGTGGAAGAGCTTCAGTCTGTTAGGACGTCTGGAATTCCTGCAGGATTTTATAGCATTTGGGAATTGGTTGGACATTGTTCCAGCAGTCAAACAGAATGTGCGTAGGAGTTTTAAGTGGAAAAGCTGCCATCCTGAGAGCAAGGTTTTAGCAGTGATCACAGTGCAAGGGACATTAATTGGTTCATATACTGTGTTCTCATGGAAGTAAGCACACTTAGGATCTCTCCTTGTGTCTTTATGGCTGTTCTTTGTGGTGAAGTTTCAGTGAGCTTTCTTAGCTGGGAACCAGAAATCTGGGGTTCTGGGGAAGATACTGGGATACCTTGAGCTATTGGATAGTGTGGGTTCAGCCTTCACCCAGAGCAGCACCCCGTGCTGATTCCTACCTATGGTATCTCTGGCTCTGGATAGCCTGTTTAGGGAATGACAGCAGCATATTGCATGTATTGGATTCATCATTTGCTTTGTGTAGAGATTGGTTTCTTTAGAAGAGCCTTATATGAGACACTCCAGAAATCAGACTGGAAGTGCTGCCCCATTCCTGTGGGGAATTGTTCTCTATGTGTGCACACCCAACTCATGCTCCTTGAAGAAGCCCTTCATTAATTATTGCTTTTTTATACCTCACTCTTTCCAATCATTCTGGTGTGAATAGGATCTCCTGCATATAAATGGCCCTGGCTACTTGGGGGTTGCTTTGATACCAGGGAAAAGTGGATGGTTTTACATCTTTAGTGCTTTTAAAATGCCTCTGCTCTCAGTCTGTGATATCAGGGAAATGATGATAATTTTCCATATTTTGACAGACTGGTGGCAGGATTGACTATTTGTATGTCATGGGTAATCTGTCTGTAATTCAAAGGATCTCATTTGACTGCGTTCCTTGGAATCTGCTCTCTCTTCTGCCAAGTGTGGCAGTGCAGGGAAGCACTTGACCACTAAATGTTAAAGTCATTTTAAAAACCCCAAGTCCAGCTTGGTACCTCTGATCTCCATCACACAGGGTGAGTCTGTTTGCTGGTTTGAAGTGCTGAGCTCAGGTTGGTTCCTCTGGACAGGGGAAGCTCTTCCTTTTCTGTGGGATGGAAGCCAAGACCTCCCCTGGGAAATCCCAGCTATTGAAAAAACTCAGAAATGTGGTAGGATGAGACACTGGACATTTGTTTTTAAACATCTGGCATCAGCATCTGGTTAGGTCTGGTCTGGGAATCCTATCACAGAGCAGGACAATGCCTAGAGTTCTCCATGGGTGTAAATACACCCGACAGTCTCCTGACAGCTTTTCCATGTCGGATTGCCCTGGGATGACATTCGTAAGCTCAACTTCCCCAGTCATTTAAGTCTTGATCCTAAAGACACCGAACATCTGTGCTTCTCATTTGAGTGGAGTACTGCAGGTACTCATGGTCAGTGTTCATGTTGTGAGTGTTATTCCCAAATAATGGCTGTTAAATCAAAAATAGTTATTCTTAAAGGCAAGAAGAAGTGAAGATCAAAGACTCCGTGTCTGAGAGACAGAGAGCAAGCGAGCTATGCAGACAGGAAAAAAATATAACAGTGTGTGAGGCTGTCATGTTAAAACAGTATTTAAATAAATCTTTAGGACTTTCTCACCAAAACAGCTTTTCATTTAGGAACAGAAAGAAATTCTCTCAGGACAAGCCTGATTTTGGGAGGGTTTGAAAGTACAACAATGATATCATTCTGTCTGGGCAGGATGAAAAGAAGCTGCCCTTTGTTAATACGCTCAGAAACATCACCGAGATGTGTGATCATTAACCTTAGTCCTTGAAAACATCCAAGAAACAACAGAAACAGGCAAAGGACTGTGGAATTTACAATCAAATTTGCACCCAGGAGGTCTTCTGTGCAAGTTCTACTGAGTCAGGCTCAGGAGCGTGGTAAAATAAAACCCAAATTGTATTTCAGAAACATAAAAGCTTGGTCCAAGTCCTCTGGAGTTGGTGGGAAGACTCAGGTTGACGTCAGTGGGATGACAAGGCGGGGTTTGGATCATATTCTGCTCGAGCTGATCACTGAGAATTCGGTTTATCTTTCTTCCCGTTCATTCTTTTGTGATTTTTTCCATGCACTTTCTTTTCCTGTGGTAGAATGCTGACAACCAACCTTAAGTGTGGAGGTTACACAGCGTCGTAATGTACTCACAGCTTTCCTATTTCATCCTCCTCTTCATGTCACAGTATTTTTTTAATGACAACCTAGTCACCCAGAGAGCACTTGAGATGAAAGTATTTTTGTAATTACTAACTAACAGTGGGAAACAAGGAACAGGAGCCTTTATCTCCCAGCTTCCTTTCAGAACTTTCATTTTCCCCAAAGAACCAAAGTGCTTGTGTGTCTGATGGGGTTGCCATGGCACTGGCTTCGAGTGTCTTTGTCCCAGGTGGGAAACATGTAGGAGGAAGAAATGATTTGGGAATTGCTCCTGGTTGCCTGGGAATGAAACCCTGGAATAGAAGGTAGAAGAATGGGAAGACTATTGCCTGCTTGGGAGACCTCCCTCAGCCCTTCCCCGGGCCCGTTAGTGGTTCTCAGGGATGCTGTCGTGCCGGAGGGTGTCTGAACTCTTTCTCAGCTGAATTTCTCATGACCTGTGTTCTGGTGGAGGATATTTTAGATACTGCCCAGCCCACCACATGAGCCTGTGCAATCAGGAATAACGGGAAAGATGGAAATGATTTCTGTGGAGACTGAGCACACCACATTGTGTAACATCCTCTGTTCAGTCGGGGCATTCTTGTATCGTCACAGAGTCACTGAGTTGTTTGGGTTGAAAGGGACCTCGAAGTTCATCTCGTTTCTCCCCCTGCCATAGGCAGCGACACCTTCCACTATTCCAGGTTGCTCCAAGCCCCGTCCAAGCTGGCCTTGGACACTTCCAGGGATGGGGCAGCCACAGCTTCTCTGGGCAAACCTGTGCCAGGGCCTGCCCACCCTCACAAGAAAAAATTCCTTCCCAATATGTAATTAAAAGTCTCTCTCCAGTGCTCTTGTAGGCCCTTCAGGAAAGGTCCTTCAGATAACTTCTATTGATGGCAGTTACCTGGGTTATCTGAAGACATCCTGCCTCTTATCCCGAGCTGCTGGAATTTTTGCTTTTAATTTAGACTTAAAACTTCATTGGATTCTCTCAAGTTCTTGATTGAATATTGGTTTGTGGGATGGGTTTTTTAATTCTTTTTTTCAGGTAACAGTTTGCTTAATCAAGGGAAAGGTAGTCAGCAGAATAGAACAGGAAGAGCACAGCATGGTACAAAGGAAAAGGAGCTTTGGTGATGGATGTATTCAGGAAGGAAAAGCAAACCCAGACTTCATAGCTGAGGAAAAGCTTGTAATTTTTTCTTTCTTTTTTTTTTTTAAGAAAGAAATCTGAGCAGGAGTGGATCAAAAGTGTGAAGTGAGTGATGTGCTGTGTCTGTGTCAGGCAGGTTGCGCTTACGGCCCGATGATGGCAGAGGGGACATCCATCTGCTGAAGTCGTCTTCTCTTCTTGGCAATAACAAAGGAAAATGATTCTTAAATAAAACCGAGGATAAAGGCTTCATTCCAACCACAGGCACCCAATGCCAGAGTAGTAAAA